CATGGACATGGAGGTTGACGGTACTGAAGCAAAGGGTTGTGTTTAATTTCTTTATATTTGCAACGATGATGATTTCCCATAGTGACACATATCACCTTCTTAATGCTTCAGTATACCTCAAACGATTAATTCTTGGTTGTTAATAGAACTTCCTTGATGCAATCGGCTGCATTATGCAGACTGAGCAATTCTGATTATAGTATCAGATTTGTTCTGTATACAGAGGAACTGGGAGGGCTTATTAAAAACTTCTCACCAATAAAGTAATGATCTTCTTGTAAATTTTGCATATAATTTTATTAATATTTTATTTTATTTAAGCATATTATTTTTGTTACAATCAATTTGCATTAGCATATAATACAAGAGATTCAATATTACTTGCTCGTTTTCGCGTAAAATAATCAATATTTATCTTACTTGTAATTACCTTTGAAAGTTTTTTTTTCAAGTTTTTTTTTTTTGTGATCTGAAAATTTACCGAGTTTGGTTAGAAGTTTCGAAGCTAACGCATGTCCACAGGCCTAATAGAAAGATAGGCAGAACAAGTGTATCATTAAGAATGGTTGCTTGCAGGGTTGCTTCCACTCACTTGCTATAGATGAGTGATTTTCGGAGTTTTGAATTCGTTAGATGTTGTAATGGAGATTTGTGCTGTTGGATGCGGGTGGAGATTGGAGGGTGGGTGTTTGACGCATAGAGCCTGTCAATTTCGCTTTCAGAGTGTCGCAGTCAGCGGTTTTATGATTCGTGAGCGCTCGCGATTCGTTTGGCCTCTTCTTGTGTCTAATATGTGCAGAGTATCATTATAATGTCTAATGGTTTTGAGATTCCTGGTGGCGTGAAATATATTTGTGAGAATATCTTTTTGAGATTTTAGCAGTCACGTTTTGTTTGTAGTTTATATTTTATTTATTTCATGTAATTATCGTAAATAATAGTTATTCAAAGTGCTGTGGATTATAAGATGCTCGATGACCCTCGAGGGATCGATTTTGCTTACTGAGCAGAAAATCATGGATTTAACCCATTTAACCCCAAGCTCTTCCACAGCACAATAAATCGCCACCATCATTTGTATATTTGATATTGAACATTAACCTCGGAAACTATTTGCATATTAAGCGAAAACGTAGTCCTGTATTGTCGCGAAGCGTTATGGTTCTGAGATGCTCGATGACCCTGGAGGGATCGTTTTTGTTCACTGAGCAGAAAATCATGGGTTTAATCCCAAGCTCTCCATCATGACTCTTAAAATTCATTATCACTAAATAAAATTAATATGTTCTTTCGATAGCCGGCTATCGAGAGATTAAATAAACAACAAATAAACAATACATACTTTTGGTTGCATCGCCAACTTGAGGTGAATCCTAACCGAATACCCTATCCAACCCTCCAACTCCGTAGCACTTATGAGGGTGTCGCTAAGTCGGTGGCCTCTCGTTAAGTAAGTACTACATCAACATTTCCTTCCCTATCCCTAGTTATGGTAAAGATGGGCGTGGCCGGGAATAGCGACAGTCATGCTTCTGTTACTCTTGTTTAGATTGGAACCAATGCTTACTCCTCAGCATTATTCCTGAAAGTAGTCTAACTGAGAATTTCAGAAGAGACGTGAGTGTCGCTAGTATCCAATCTACGAAGTATATCATAACAACGCTAACGCTAACGCTAACGCTAACGCTATCTATTGGTGGGAGCATTTAATTTAAACCATCAATATAGTATTTTTGCGAACGGATTTTGTTTATGTGTACTAGTGTATACCATAGAGGTAACTCTAATAGTACGTTCAGACTACAGAGTTATAACATGTTTTAGCTCTATCTTGATGGTGGTTTCTGTGTTGCAGATAGTTGACAACCGTTATAACATGTTATAACTCTCCAGTCTGGACGCTGTATAAGACTAGAAGGTTCTGAAATAACGTGCTCAACTTTTTGGCTCAGCTCTGGTACTCTTTTCGGTCCCAAGCTAATCGATTCACCCCTCCCGATAGGAAAAACAAATAACCCCTCATTTTACCTGTCAAACTTTCATAGCGAATCAAAACAAACATTGCGTAGTACTAGAATTTCAACTAGAATGGGGTACGTTACTCGTTTGCTTGGGACCAATAGGCCTCGCAATAGGCTGGTCAAGTAGTGAGCCAATTTAAAATCGCTAATTTCGTATTGATTGTTGTGTATACTGCCATGTACACGGTAATAATCAAATACCCATTTATGAGTAAAAGTTAACCCATTGTCATTAAAAGTGATACTACTAATGAATGAATAATTTATTATGCCAATTAAGTAGTAACTGTTAGCTACTGTTAGCAGAAACTCATTGTTATTAAAATAATTTAGTCATAAATGAGTAAAGCCACTTTTATAAAAAAAATGAGTTAACTTTTACTCATAAAAGAGTTTTTGACTGTTACCGTACAAGCTTAGGGTTTGTTTTCGTTTTGTTGTTTATTTTTACTTTAGAATGACAGTTCTTACAGCAAACAAAACATTTCATCTTACAAATGCCGTTTTCGTTTTTGCGGTGTAGCACTGGTGTAGTGTAAGCAGGAATAAGCGCGAGTCTTTGACAGCTCAACATAATTTGTTTGTAAACAAAGGTCCATCTTATATCTACACCCTAAAATATTTCGGTGTACGGCAGTGTAGCACCGATGTGCGGTATAAGAGGTGAGGAGAAAGGAAACTAGTGGACTCTTTCATTCTGACGGTGTTCTTATGCAACAGCAGACGTGACGTCACGTCTGTTGCTGCGTAAGAAGACGCGAGAACGAAAGAGTCCACTAGTTTCCTTTCTCCTCACCTCTTATACCGCACATCGGTGTAGCACCGGTGTAGCTACACCGCAAAAACGAAAACAACATAACACACGCAAATCGCACCAATACGAACCCGCCAGGAGAGGACTATACGCAATGACGTTTATATAAGGTCTGGGCCAAAGGGGTTATTAGTGTTATTGAAATGTGCAATTGTTTAGTGGTGTTCGTATTGTATTGCAATGTTTATCTTTTTACACGAAACAGCTGTTGGCAGTGACGTATTTCTATCTGTTCTCAGTATGTTGGCAGTGACGTATATCTATCTGTTCGCAGATGTTCAGCAATGTTTACAACATTTTTGCTTCTAATACCAGCAAGCTGCCTGTTGGCCCAGACCTTATATAAATGTCATTGGACTATACGAGCACAAACGAAGTGACAGACGGAGCGGCTCGAAAACTTTGGTGACTAACCTGCTATTGCAATTTTTCAGTGTACCACATGGCAACACCACTACTACTGGATTGTACCACATGGCAACACTACTATTGGATTGAACTAGCATTTTCACCAAATGTACTAGAATATTTTGGTTCTATCTCTTTCACTCTACTCAAAACTGAAATGCATAAAAAAATGACAAAATGATACGCACTCTTTGCACACTGTCAAAGAATCATTGTACACAAAATCAACTTTGTTCAAATCAAAACAAAAAAACTAACCCATCTGGTGGATGATGGCACAAGCTTCCAAGAAAATTCTATTACAGTGAACCACATTATTTTAATGGATTTCTTCGCCAGTAAGTCGTCTGTCACTTCGTTTGTGATACGAGCGTGTTTAAAATTGACAGATGAGTTATCGAATAACCATGTTATACACTGATAAATTCAACTATTCCCCTATGCTTGAAATTTAATCAATTTGACATTAAACTCAGTTTAATCATATCGAATGAATAAAAATTAATCCTCTCTTTCTAAAAAATAAGCATCTGATTAATCCCAGTTTAATCTTGGTTGATTATATTGTAGATTATCTATTTTTGAATAAATTTTAATCATTTTTGATTCTACACAGCAAAAAAAATGTAATATCGATCAATGTAATTCAAGCTGATGTATGAAATAATGATGTAATAGCAAAAAGCAGATACAATATTACATCAATGGATGTAATTTTGTTCGCAAAATCGATGTACATCGTACAACGTTATATTACACAACCGATGGATTGACATGGTTGCAGCAGTTTGGATGTAATATTCAACAACTTTTTTTTTCTGTGTATTTTAATAATTTTTTATTGGATTTTAAACTTTTTGAATTTTGTATCAGTATTGAAAAAGAATAAAAATTAATACTGGAAAGATTATTTCGATTTTAATCATGCATGACTACTGCCGAGGTAATCATGGGTCGGACTCAATAAGGTGAAGCGGGAATCTGCATACTTTTTAAGCTTTTTTGATTTAATTTATCTTTGAGTGTACGAGCGTGGTTATTTCGGACCGACTAGAAGTTAAATTTTGGTAACCGTGACTGAGTTCTGTTTGAAAACTGATCAATTTCCGGCATTTTCGAACATTGAAAATAACTTACGAAATGTCACGTTTAACCACGAGTTAAATTTAACTCGGCAATTGGTACACAGCCCAAGAAGTATTTCTCGATTACTTTTTCGAAGGAACGTATCAGTTTTTGTAAACAACGCATTTGATCGTCGATTTGGCGTAGCTGGTAGCTCGCCCACGCATGCTAGTACTACCATCTGTTAGGGGAAAATTTTCCCAACCTATTAGCGGTGTTAGTATGTGGGGCGAGCTATTAGTTATGCCAAACTGACGATAAAATGCGTTGTTTACAAAAGCTGATATGTCCTTCCGAAAAGTAATCGAGATTTGTAGTTCATTCAGGCAAGGAGCGCTTGCGCCATCGAGGCGACGCCGCTACCAGCAGCTAATGATCTCGACGGGAACGACGCGCAAAGTTCGAGGTGCAAAACTCGAACTCTGCGCGCGTGACAGGAACCGCCTTCCTACCAACAATCAATACGAAACTAACGATTTTTAATTGGCTCACCACTTTAGTAGCCTATTGGTCCCAAGCAAACGATTAACGTACCCTATTCTAGTTGAAATTCTATTACTACACTATGTTTGTTTTGATTCGCTATGAAAGTTTGACAGATAACATCAGGGGTGTGTGGATTCATGCAGAACATGCAGGGGTGAGTGAAATAGCTTGGGACTGCTTGGGACCGTTGTTCTGGTACTGAGTGAGCCAAAAATAATAATGATTTTCTTCGGGACCCAGTGGTCTTAGAGTTACCTCTATGTTCCTACTGCTTTTGCTGCTGCTGCTACCTGCTTACCCGCCGTCCGAAGCGAAAATGAGTTGAGGCACAGTAGTAGTAAAATTTACGTTTATTTTCTGGGTTTTTATGTTTCAACATATGGTTTAACATTTCAATTGGTTAGCTAGATCTAAAAGTTATTTGAAGACACCTTTGCTGAGAAATTCGAAACAAGAAAACTAGAGCAAAATAACTGTTTTTTTAGCGCCACCCTAACTCAATTCAGGAAAATAGCTTTAAATCGGCCAAAAAGATACAAAAAAGTTGTTTTCAACAAAGTTGCTTGAAATAAGCTCAGCCATAACTTTGCCAAAAAATGTATACCTTAATTTATTCAAACAAAAAAGTTAAATTTTTGATTTTAATGATAATAAGAACCACCCTAGAATTCATTGTCATAAAAATGAGGGCCTAACTATAAGGAAAAACTTTGTAGAAGAGACTTTTAGGCTAAAGTTTCAATTTCAGGCTCAAAACATATCATTCCACCCAGGGTTACTTCCACTCACTTGCTATAAAAAAATGTTTTTCTGAATTATGAAATCATGAAATAGTATAATGCTAATTAGTACTTGTAAGTTACAAGAAGAGGTCATGAATTGTATATTTGACACATAACATCTGTCAATATTGCTTTCAGTGCGTCACAATCAGCGATTTTACGACTCGTGAGCGCTCACTCTGAGTGAACGCTCACGAATCATAAGATCGCTGATTGTGACGCTCTGAAAGTGGAATTGACAGGTTTTATGAGTCAAACACATACTTTACACCCTCTTCTTGTCACTTACAAGTACAACATATCATTATATCATCTAATGATTGCATAATTCCGAAAATTATTTTTTTATAGCAAGTGAGTGGAAGCAACCCTGATTCCACCTAAATCTGCATTCTGGACCACTGTGCAATGCTATAAAATTATGCCTCAATGCTACAAAAGTAATGATAATCATGTTGAAATTATTTGAGAAGTAAAATGTTACGGATGAAGGCGGAACAAAATACTACTCTCATATATCAGACTTACCATGGAATGTACGTCGCTGAATATGGAGTTGGTTAAACTGTCGTGTACCATTGTATCGCGGTTACCTCCTCCTATCGTTACCAGCAAAATGTGGTCTAGTTGTCTTGAATCTTTTACCGATGGTAAGCAATAATCATCTTCAACCTTTAGACGTGAAGCTTTGTAGGAGGATGCACAAACAGTCCTGTTGAGCTTCCATTGGGTATTTACCGAATTGTAGAAATACTGGAAATAGTGATCCAAAGAAAGCACAGGAACGTCCATCGGCGAAGATATGGCAAGAATTGAATTGATTAATGGCGCCATTTCCGGTAAAACCGCCGCCGCCTGAGCTATTTTACCACCCTGTAATAAAAATGCGGTGAAAAATTTAAATAACTTCTCTGTTAGATAACTGAACGACTGAATAACTGAATAATAACAACTATAGAAACAACTTTTTGTTCTTTTTCTTCGACGATTTTAGTGTTCTTGTTACGATACCACAGGGCAGGCTCATTGGTAGCGAGGTGAGTTCCGTACCACCCAAGATCTGGCAACCAGCAAACGTCAAACGGAGCATAGCCGGTGACATGTCACTCAAACGTCACTTCAGCAAAAAACAACAATGTGATCGTGAAAGTGGAGTAAATTCGAGAGTAAACTAAAAGTTAATAAAATCTAATTTAATAATAAGTAAATTCTACCTAAAGCTTGTAAATCTAGATTTGGTGAACTATTGTCAAGTGAATTTAATGAAATTATCAACCTAGGTAAAATTATATACATTTATTGCCTATTTACACGCAAAGAAAATCCTAACCCTAAATTTATTATAGATAACTAGTTCTACTATTAGTACGGCTGGATTTATACCAATTGCTTAATATTACAAACCTAAGAGTAAGTACTTAATTAAACTTATCCTAACATGCGAAATTTGTAAAACCTAATCAATATTTATAAAACCTAGGGCAATTTGTTGCTAGCGATAATTCACGTTCACATAGAGTTTCGGGTTTGAACAGGAAGAACAACACGAAAATGTAAGTGAAAACCTTTATTTAAAATCCATTAAAACTCAAACAAATATACAATTACAGCTTTGAAGCTGCTTATGCTGCTATCAAAACGTGTTTACGTCTGCCCGAAAATCTATCCGAACAATCTTCAAAGATTTTCTGGAGGTTCTAGTCGAACCGAAAAATGAGCGACAGTAATGCAAAACACTGTGCCAAATGCGATCGGCTGGACACAGCAAACCATCTCGTTGGATGCGATATGTGTGAGACGTGGGTGCACTTCGACTGCGCGGGTGTTACGGACTCCATCGCCGATCCGGATCGCACTTGGAAGTGTGATCGATGCCGATCGCTGGAAGATGATGTTGTTTCCCATTCGAGGACGTCCGTCAGTCGCTCGTCTATGAGTAAACGCTCGACCCGAGTAGAGCTAAGCCTGCAGATGATTGAAGAGCAGAAAGCGTTGCGGATGAGGAGAATCCTAGAGGAACAGGCGGCTCAAGCAGTAGCGCGAAACAAGCTAGCCGAAGAGGAGGAGCGGTTTTTGAGGCAGAAGTACGATCTGCTCATGACCGAAGCGGATAATGCGGAAGAAGGAGCCAGTAGGAAATCAAGACTGAGCAGTCGAACTAGTCGAGAGAAGGTTCGATCGTGGCTTAGCAGACAGGAAGACAGCACAGCACAGCAAGTGACAGTAGTGCCCTCCAGTAGCATGAAGTCAACGGTCGTAGCCACAGAAGCAGTTCAACAGTCTACAATTCCAGCTCCTATCACATCAAGTCCGATCACGTCAAACGTTCCCGCCATAGTAACTTCGGATCCAGCGTCAACTTCAACGCCAAATTCAGTGGATGGTTCCAGAAGCGTGAAGCGTTCATTGGCAACGATGGTACCTCAAATTCCGATTCCAGTGAGGTCAGACGGCAGCTTCGTATCACGCACCGAAATCACATTCGACGTTCCCCAACGGCCTCTGGTAAGTTCCTCCTTGCTAACGAGATGCAATTCTACTGTCGGGATCGACACTTCAGCTACGATGGATGGTCCGCGGAAAGTCAACAGTAGTGCTCCGCCTCCGAATATAGAAATTCACCCTATGTCCAGTAGTCATTACCCACGAGTTAATAAAGTACCAATTAGTGGGAGTAGGGCATCGGGATGTGGTGATTATGCCGTCACATTTCCCTCAAGTAGTAGGCCAATATTGCAGGATAGCATAGTAATTACAAGCGTACCACAAGTCTCTTCTATAAACTATGGGTGTACGCCAATTGTTAGCTACAATTCCGCATTTCCGACCGCAGTATCAGGGCAGAGTCAACCGTTCGCTACAAGCATTCCGGCACAAAACTATAGTAGTAGCGTCGCCTTTCAAAACGTTGGTACTAATCCAAGAACGTCATTAGTCACCGGGGGTCAAGGGTCATCCCAGAATCCCGTCTCATCAGTACCACTGGTACACTCCCGACCAGTGTTAAGTTCCGGTTGTCAATCAACGTGGATCAATAACAATCTGGCCAGTACGGATGTCGGTGGGATACAATCGGGAAATGTAAGTCACATCCCAGTTCCATCGCAGCGTGAAAGAACGTTTGTCAACAATGGGGGGGCCCCAGTAACTTCTAATGGGACGGTGCCACCTGCATACATCGTTGATCCACTTCAGTTCGAGATTCCGGTGACGCAATCAGCGGCGGGCTCAAGAGATTCCCGCATTCCCTGGTTTAGCCAACAACCACCATCTCAACCGCAACATCCACAACATCAGCATCCTGTCGATCCAGCTAGAAGTGGGCCATCTAGTGGACAACTTGCAGCGAGACAGGTGATGCCACGAGAGTTGCCGAACTTTTCAGGAGATCCTCAAGATTGGCCGCTGTTCTATAGCTCGTTTTGGAACTCTACGGAAACATGCGGGTACACAGACTCCGAAAACTTGGCGCGATTGCAGCGCTGTTTGAAGGGGAATGCATTGGAAGCAGCTAAAAGCCGATTGCTGATGCCACAGTCGGTGCCCTCTGTAATTGATATATTACGGAGGTTGTATGGTCGACCGGAAATTCTGATACATTCTCTCCTCCAAAAATTGCGTTCAGTTCCCTCTCCGAAGACCGATAACTTGCAGTCACAGATAACCTTCGGTCTCGCGGTGCAAAACGTTGTGGACCATATGTCTATCGCCAATCTTCATGACCATCTGTGGAATCCGACACTGCTTCATGAGCTAATAGAGAAACTGCCATCTCAGCTCAAAATGCAGTGGTCCTATTACAAGAGCAGATGCACTTATGTCAACCTGGCGACCTTCAGCGCTTTCATGTCCGAACTAGTGGTGATGGCTTCGGACGTTACGCTTCCAATAGACGGTCTCACCATGAACGCGAGATCCATCAAACCGGGGAAGGAAAAACCGAAGCTGTACGTACACTCCGAGGAAACGAAAACTGGACAAGTAGTGGACTACGACAAGAAGCCGTCAGTGGAGCCGATGAAGAAGACCTGCACGTACTGTGCCTGTGCGAATCATGAAATCGTGAACTGCGTACAGTTCAAGGGACTCGATCTGGATGGGAGATGGAAGGCGATCAAACAAAAGAATTTGTGCAGAAGCTGTCTCATACCACATCGGAAGTGGCCCTGCCGTTCCAACAAGGAGTGCGGCGTCGATGGATGCAGAGTTCATCATCACAAGCTACTGCATTCAACTAGGAATCCCTCGCAAAACAGAGTGGAAGCAGGAAGCTCGTCGCGGTCTACGAATAACGTTGTGCACCAAAATCTCCACTCTTCGGTTGCATACTCTTTGTTCCGATATTTACCCGTGACTATCCATGGTAACGGTCAGCAAATCAACACCTATGCTTTTCTGGATGATGGTTCGTCGTCTACCCTCCTTGAATCCAGTATTGCATCGGCGCTGGGTATCACGGGGCCAACCGACAACTTTTGTTTGAGTTGGACCGGAAATATTTCGAGGGAGGAGAAAGGATCTCAACGTGTGACCGTGGTTATTTCTGGCGTTAGAGAGAAGTTCAAACTCAGCAACGTTCGGACAGTGCAAGAGCTTCAACTTCCAAGTCAAACAATGCAGTATGAAGAGTTGCAGCAGACCTACCCGCACCTGAAGGGTCTGCCAGTTCGCAGTTATACGGAAGCTACGCCGGGGATCATTATCGGACTAGAACACGTTCGACTTCTAACTTCGTTGCGAGTACGAGAAGGTAAAGACAACGAACCTGTGGCGACGAAGACGCGCCTCGGATGGTGCATTTTCGGAAAGAACTCCGGCAATGATTCCGTGCTGGAACAATTGAATCTGCACCTTGATGGTGATCCCGATAATCGAGAACTACATCTGTGGATGAAGCAATTCTTCGCAGTCGAAGAGTCCAGCGTCACCATAAAACCGGAAGCTGAAGAAGATAAGCGAGCGCGGAAGATAATGGAAGCTACGACCCGAAGGGTGAATGGCGCTTTCGAGACGGGACTTTTATGGAAGTACGATCACATCTGCTTCCCTGATAGCTACCCAATGGCGCTACGTCGGCTGAACGCACTGGACAAGCGATTGCGAAAGGACCCAATCCTCGAAGCGAAGGTGAGGGAGCAGATTGCAGAGTATGAAGCGAAAGGGTATGCACATCGTATCACGGCAGACGAGCTGCAGTCTACGGATCCCAGCAAGGTCTGGTATCTACCTCTGGGTATTGTGCAGAACCCGAAGAAACCGGCCAAGTTACGGCTGATCTGGGATGCCAAGGCTCGAGCTGGAGGAGTGTCTTTCAACGATATGTTGATGAAGGGTCCGGATCTTTTGGTGGCGCTGGTAGCAGTACTGTTGCGTTTCAGGCAGAGGGACATTGCTATCGTCGGCAACATAAAGGAGATGTTTCACCAGCTCCGCATCCGGGACGAAGACAAACAATCACAGCGTTTCCTTTTCTGCCTTGAACCAGGATCGAATCCACAGATCTACATAATGGATGTCGCCACTTTCGGTGCGACCTGCTCGCCTAGTCTGGCACAGTTCGTGAAGAACGTGAACGCGAAGGAATTTGCCGAGACATTTCCCAGGGCGGTGAATGCAATAATTCATAACCACTACGTTGACGATTTCTTGGATAGTGTAGACACGGAAGAGGAAGCTGTGGCGTTGATCAACGAGGTGAAATACATCCACTCTCAAGCAGGGTTTGAAATCCGAAACTTCTGCTCCAATTCGGCCGAAGTACTGGCAAGCATCGGGGAATGCAGAACACCACAGGAAGTATCCATGAACTTGGAGAAATCGACAGACTCGGAGCGTATACTGGGTCTGGTGTGGAGGCCAAAAGAGGACGTCTTCACCTTCGATATGAGCAGTCTCAAGGAAGAGATCAAAACGTTGATTAGCGGCTCAACGGTCCCAACCAAACGGCAGGTTCTGCGCACTGTCATGTCGTTATTTGATCCGCTGGGACTGGTTTCGCATTTCGTCGTGCACGGAAAAATCTTAATGCAGCAGATCTGGAGATCCGGTACCGATTGGGACGAACCTATTCCGGAGGAATTGCAGGATAAGTGGCGGTGTTGGTGTGAGTACATGCAGCGCTTGGAAGAGGTGGCAGTACCGCGATGCTTCTTCAAAGGAGTGAACAGCTCCGCTCTCGAGAACGTCGAGGCACATCTATTCGTAGATGCGAGCGAAGTGGCTTGCGCAGCAGTTTTGTATCTTCGCTTCGTGGACAACGGTTCTCCTCGATGCGCGCTGGTGGCGGCTAAAACAAAAGTTGCTCCGCTGAAACCCCTTTCCGTGCCACGTCTGGAGCTACAAGCGGCGATGATTGGAACAAGACTTCTCGACTCAGTGTTGACTTCGCTGGATATCCAGGTTAACAAGCGCTTCCTTTGGTCGGATTCATCAACTGTCCTGTGTTGGTTACGATCCGATAGTCGACGGTATCACCAATTTGTGGCCTTTCGAGTGGGAGAGATTCTTACATCTACTAGCGCGGATGAGTGGCACCACGTGCCTTCCAAACTGAACATTGCTGACGCGGCCACGAAATGGAAAGACGGACCCAGCTTCGATCCGAAGAACCCTTGGTATAGTGCACCGGAGTTTCTGTATAAGCCAAAGGAGCAGTGGCCAAAGGAACCATCTCAGAAGGAGAAGGAAACGGACATCGAGTTGCGAATTGAATTCTTGTTCCATGGAACCACGCCTCAACCGTTGATCGACGTATCCAGATTCTCGAACTGGAATCGACTCCTGAGGACAACAGCCTACGTTCTACGTGCAGTGCGCAGATTGAGAGGAGAAAAGGGGTCCAAACCAGATCTCTTGACGCAGAAGGAGCTGCGTGATGCAGAAAACTTGCTTTGGCGGCAGGTTCAATCGGAAATGTATCCTGACGAGTACGCAATTTTGCGACGTAACCAGACGAATCCCAGCAATCCAGTGTCAATTCCGAAGTCCAGTCAGCTATACCGGCTGTCACCGTTCGTAGATGAGAGCGGCGTCATTCGGATGAATAGTAGGCTCACCGCGGCGCGAGCCGTCTCGACAGATATGAAGTACCCGATCCTGTTACCGAAGAAGCACGCTGCGGTCCATCTTCTGGTGGAGGACTATCATCGGCGATTTCTGCACGGCAACGGAGAGACTGTTCACAACGAGATGCGTCAACGGTTCTACATACCAGGATTGCGAAATGTGATACGCCAGGTATCGAAACAATGTGTGACCTGTCGTGTTAGGAAGGCTGTTCCACAACCACCCATGATGGCGCCCCTACCCGAGGTGCGAGTCACGGGACTAGTTCGTCCCTTCACGCACACTGGAGTGGACTATTTCGGACCGATACAGGTTAAGCAAGGACGCAGTTTGGTGAAGAGGTGGGTGGCGCTATTCACGTGCCTCACGGTTCGCGCCATACATGTAGAGTTGGTGCATAGTCTGTCAACTCAGTCCTGCATCATGGCGGTTAGACGATTCGTGGCTCGTCGAGGTTCCCCGGAGTCCTTCCACAGTGACAACGGAACAAACTTTCTGGGGGCCAGCAACCTGTTGACCAAGGAGATCCAGGATATCCATGAAGACTGCGCGGTAACGTTCACCAATTCGACGACCAGCTGGGAGTTCAACCCACCATCGGCGCCTCATATGGGCGGATCGTGGGAGCGCATGGTGCGCTCAATGAAGGTAGCGATGTCAGCAATTGCAGATCATCCTCATCACCCTAGCGACGAAGTACTACAGACGGTAGCCATAGAAGCGGAGGCGATCGTAAATTCCAGGCCGCTCACCTACATTCCGCTGGAGTCTACGGAACAAGAGGCTCTAACGCCGAATCATTTCTTGCTGTTCGGTACCAAGGGAGTCGTTCAACCAGCAACTTCGGTGAACTCAGTCGGGAGCAGCTTGAGGGACAGTTGGCGCCTTGCACAGTACCTGGTGGACCAGTTCTGGTGTCGATGGATACGCGAGTACTTGCCCACTATTACGAGACGCACCAAGTGGTTCGAACCAGTCAAGCCTCTAGAACCAGGGGATCTCGTTCTGGTCGTCGACGAAGGCAAGCGGAACGGTTGGTTAAGAGGACGAATCATGGACGTGACCAAAGCAGCGGATGGACAAGTTCGGCGAGCAGTCGTACAAACCAAAAATGGACTGTTGACCCGACCTGCAGTGAAGTTAGCCCTCCTGGACCTTCAGAAATCTGGACGGTCCGGAACTACACGGGCGGGGGGATGTTACGATACCACAGGGCAGGCTCATTGGTAGCGAGGTGAGTTCCGTACCACCCAAGATCTGGCAACCAGCAAACGTCAAACGGAGCATAGCCGGTGACATGTCACTCAAACGTCACTTCAGCAAAAAACAACAATGTGATCGTGAAAGTGGAGTAAATTCGAGAGTAAACTAAAAGTTAATAAAATCTAATTTAATAATAAGTAAATTCTACCTAAAGCTTGTAAATCTAGATTTGGTGAACTATTGTCAAGTGAATTTAATGAAATTATCAACCTAGGTAACATTATATACATTTATTGCCTATTTACACGCAAAGAAAATCCTAACCCTAAATTTATTATAGATAACTAGTTCTACTATTAGTACGGCTGGATTTATACCAATTGCTTAATATTACAAACCTAAGAGTAAGTACTTAATTAAACTTATCCTAACATGCGAAATTTGTAAAACCTAATCAATATTTATAAAACCTAGGGCAATTTGTTGCTAGCGATAATTCACGTTCACATAGAGTTTCGGGTTTGAACAGGAAGAACAACACGAAAATGTAAGTGAAAACCTTTATTTAAAATCCATTAAAACTCAAACAAATATACAATTACAGCTTTGAAGCTGCTTATGCTGCTATCAAAACGTGTTTACGTCTGCCCGAAAATCTATCCGAACAGTTCTAGATGCACTTCCGCAGTTATTAATTGAGAGCTTTCTATGTCAACTAATCCATGAATTTGTATATTGTGTAACTAATATAATGATACTATAATAAACCCAGGGAAATCGAGAAAATGTTCCTCGACCCGGCCGGGAATCTAACCCGCCGCCTCCGGCTTGGTAATACCGTGCCATTATCGAATAAGCTATCTAAGGCCCCTTAGCGAACAATATTAAATATTATTACTATTTGTTCTGTATAGCTCTATGGGGTATTGAGTATAAATAGAACATGTTCGGGTGGGAGGAATTAACTGTTGACCCAAATCTTTTCTACTATACTACAGGCAGAATTACATTAAATAATTACACGGTATGAGCAGACTATTCAGTGAATGCTTGTGATTCAACTTACCATGGAATGCCCAATCAATATGACTGACGTGGGTCCACCCGGAACGATTTTGTATAATCTTAAAACATGTTGCACACAGATCCGTACGAACTCAACTTGATTATTCAAGACACCTCCATACAGTCCGGAGTACTGTTCATTTAGGTCAACTGCAATTAAATGAGATGATTGAATTCGTGATATTAGAAATGATATTTAGGAGAAATTGTTGAAACTTTGCCAACGCAGCGACATGAACTAACCCTGAAACTGATATACATTTGTTGAAGAAACTCATACCGAATATTGTTTGAAAATCAATTAGAATATTGAGAACTCACTTCATACTGTTTTAAATTTATGAAAACCAGACATTGGAAATGCACAGTGTTGGCTAAAAATCTCCTCAATAAAGTCTTAAAAGAAACCTTCAAGACAATGAAAAATACTAGTTATATGGAAATGTAAGATTTTGTTAACATCGGCCAAATTGTCCAAAAAAAATGCTTTTATTGTATTATTGCAACCTTAACTTTTAGAAAACTGCAATATATTTACCATATTTACTTCAAAAGCCTTAAGCCGGTTTGAGGTAAATCGGACAGCAGTATTTCCACGTAATGAAAATCATTTTTAATCGATTGAGAAATTTACCGAACAAGTATATCTACATACCGGTAAAGTAGTCCAGATGATGCCGAAGTCCATTATCTATTCCTTTACGCAGGGCCACCGACGCCAGTGAACGAGCTTGCTTGTAGGATCCCGCGTTGCCCGGAACAAAAATCACTGGAGCTCCAGTAAACTGCATATTCCTGGTTTTTTGAGCCAGTTGACCCTCCGAGTATGCGTAAAGTCCATACGCAGGGAAGTTATCATTTTCCGGGAAACTAATTTTCTGTGACAATAATAATATTATGTTTAATATAATATTCTTTGTTCCGATGTTTATTAAATACCACAAATTGAGGATACTCGTACATATAACTCATTCGACATCGATTTTCTTCTATTTTTGTTATGTTTATGAGGAGTCCGTACATAAATAAAAAGAGGCTGCACAATGAGGCTATGACTACAAATTTTGATAACATCCTTGAAGAAGGTAAAATTTAATTGCACTTTTCTATAATTTGCTTAAATTTTCCCGAGATCACACAATATTTTTATGTTGTTCTCGTTGTTCTTCACAACAGTACACGGTAACCAGCGTAAATACATAAATGTGTAAAATTTCACGCATTTCGTGAAAAAAACGGGGGGGGACGTGCTGTCAAATCAGCCTATAGTATATACTGATCATTCTTGCATGAAACTGGTTCCAAACGTAAACAAACGTTGTACACGGTAAGAAAAAAGTACCCAACGGAAAGTTTACTTTTACCTACTTTTGACTAGTTTGTCTCCTTTTCTCCTTCTAATGTTGTCAAAAACGGAGGAGCAAAACCACCCAACAGGGGTAGTAAAGTGTGGGAACCCAACGTTGAGTATAATAATATTTACCTACTGTTGGGTACAACTAACTTACTTTTGCGTTGAAAGCTAGTGGAAAATTCCATACGAATTGCACACAAGTAAATGAAAACTACACGGTTAGAAAAAAGTACCCAAAATTAAGTTCTTTTCACTCATCTCGGCACTATAGTGCAGGAACCCAAAAGTAGGTAAAGCGGGTCAAAGTAATTTTCATTTACTTATGTGCAGTTCGTATGGAATTTTCCACTGGCTTTTTAACCAAAAGTATGTTAGTTGTACCCATGTGAAGAAAACTGGGAACACGGTTTGGGCCAAATACCGGTCTAGCGAACATGCTACGTCGCTGTCAGGTAAACGTTAGAATTGAATTGGAGGAATGTATACAAAAACAAATCGTTCATTAAGGCCTGTATAGAGATCAAAGCGAAGCGAAAATCTCATACAAAATACTACATTTTTCACCAGCGTGAAAAACGCTGTTGGCAAATTTTTCACTTCGCTTTGAACTGTAAACAGATACGATCCAGCGAAATCCAATGTTGTGGATCGCATCTTTTTCGCTTACGTTTATTTTTTTTTCGCGCATGCAGCGCTCGCGAAAAGAGCAGCAGCTAAGCGAAAAGTTGACGTTTCGGGAGAGCGTATCTGTCAGATTTTCACTTCCCCCGAGGTGTAAACTGATCTATTTCGTTTCACATGAACTGTAAACTGCGAAAAAAAGGAAACTGGAAAATGTTCCACAAACATTTTTTCACAACCTTTTTCGCTAGCGAAATTTCATGATTTTTCGCGTGCTCCAATTTTCGTTTCGCTTCGAACTGTATACTAGGCTTTAGTGTGAAAAAATTCTGCATTGCGTTTAGCAAAATTAGCTCATTACGGTTGAAAAAATAATCATAACTAGTTTTAAGGTATTTAAAAGTGCATTTAATCGTATCAGAAAGTGTTTTCAATTGGATATACGGTAAATTTGATCATGCAACTAGTACAAATAATGAACTGAAAACAACATCTTATATCTAGGTTGGCAAGCACTAGTACACAAAACTAAATCTAATATTGTACAATTTCCTAGATCTAGTGACTAGAATTGTGGATAAAAGTCCAGACTAGTATCGTAGGTATCCTAAACCTAAATTGGAATTTTTATGAAAATCTAATTATCCATGATTGAACTCAGATTAGTGAAGAAACGTTTTGAGATCGATAAATCACCGCAAATCGCTCGTACCAAGAGGTGTAGAGAAGAAACTATCTTTTGTAAGTAGAGTTTAAATTTGTACATTAAAACACTAATTTGAATATTAAATTTGCAGTTTGAACTGCGTCAATCAGCTGCTACAAAACAGTGGTGTAATTCTTGAAAGTTTTCCGAACATTCTCAAAAAAAGATAATCGGATTACGATTATTATGTTGTATCTGGGAACACTGGGTCGAGTAGAGCAGAATAAAATGTGGAAGGAAGAATTGATTAATAAAGTAGTCCTCGATTCGTGAACATGTGTTTCATTGTGTATCCGAATATAACACTACATTTTGGCGACAAGGATGTTGGAAAAAGTGTCGAAATCGAATGGAATTAAGTATTCGTGGTTATCTTCGCGAAAATCCGGTTGAATGGGAGTAGCCCGGTAAGCGAAAAAGTGGAAAATTAAGAAAAATCGCGGTGGCGTCGTGAGTGCTTTGTTCGTGGTAGAGGCGAAAGTAATGGTGGATCTCACGCACACATATAAATAGTGCTGGTAGTGAGCGAAATGAATCAAAATATTGCACATTTTGTGATCGGGGAAGTGTCGTCGGTAGGAAGAAGATGGAAGGCATGGAAGCGCTCGTTCGAACTTTATTTGGAGTGCAATCCTACGGCAACTGCAGCAAAGAAAAAAGCCCTACTTTTGCACCTGGCGGGTCTCGAGGTCCAAGAAGTGTACTATGATGACCCAAATCACGGCATTGCGCCTCCAGAGGGAAGTGATGTTTATAAACAAGCCGTTGCGCTGTTGGACCATCATTTCGAACCGATTGTTTGTATTCCGTACGAGAGGGCAATGTTCAGGAAAATGGCCCAAAAGAATAGTGAAAGTGTTACTGCATTCGCGAGGCGATTGAGACATCAAGCAAATTTGTGCGATTATGGTGACGCGTTGGATATGCGAATTACCGAACAAATTTTTGATGGAAGTTCCTCTAGTGGACTACGAGAAGCAATCTTGAAAAAGCGACTTGTCGATTTAGATAAAATTATCGAAGAAGGAAGAGTGCTTGAAACGATTGACTCAAACCAACAAGAGGCAGTTGGAGAAGACTCTGTAAGTGTGAACAAAGTGAGAAGTGCTACTAATCGTTGTTTTCGTTGCGGGTCTACGGGACATTACGCGAATGACAAAAGGTGTCCAGCCCGAAAGAAGACATGTGATAAGTGCGGGCTGATAGGCCATTTCAAGAAGTTGTGTAAAACGAAGAAGCCGGTAGAACAGAAGAAGAAAAAAGTACGTCAAGTGGAAGATTCTGAGGAAGAGGGGGCACAATCGGTTGGTGAAGAAGAAGGAAGCAAAAGTGAAAGCGAAGAAAGCGATATTTACCACATATTTTCGACCACGGCGTGCGAGAAGAAAAAGTGTGGCTCTAAATGCAACGACAAATATAACACGAAAGTGAAGTGCTTAGTCGGTGGTGTTCCACTGCAGTGGACGATAGATTCTGGGGCATCGGTGAACTTGATTGCCGAAGATACCTGGAAACTGTTGAAGAAGAACGGATGTAAAGTGAGCTTTGAGACTAACGAAACGCGGAAGAAATTAGTAGCGTACGGAAATCACAAACTACAAGTAAAGGGTATGTTCAAAGCCGATATAAGCCACGGATCGTTGACGGTGCACAGTGAGATTTTCGTGATCAAGGGGCAAGGCACTAGCCTGCTGGGAAAGACATCATCGGTGGATCTTGGTGTGCTGAAAATTAATTGTGAAGTGTTGCAAGTTATGGAAGACAAAGTTGCGAATATTGGAAAGGCAAAGGATTTGTTAGTGACAATCAACATTGACCGGAATGTCTACCCGGTACAACAGCCGTGTCGACGACTACCAATACCGTTGCAGAAGACTGTTGACGGGGAAATCCAAAAGCTCCTCGAACAAGGCATCATTGAACCAGCTACAGGTAAGATCACTTGGGCTTCTCCTTTGGTTGTCACACCCAAAGACGGAGGGCGTCGGGTGCGTTTATGCGTGGATATGCGCAAGGCAAATACAGCGATCATTCCACAACGACACCCCTTGCCTACTTTCGAGGAATTGATGCCATATTTGAACGGATGTAAATATTTCTCCAAGATCGATTTGAACCAAGCTTTTCACCAGCTGGAACTCACCCATGAGTCGCGAGAAATCACAACATTCGTCACCTCTAAGGGGTACTTTCGTTTCAAAAGATTAATGTTTGGAATGAATTGCGCGGCTGAGATTTTCCAGCGAGAGCTTGAAAAGATCCTTAAGGGCTTGGAAGGAGTTGTGCATTTCATCGACGACATTTTAGTTTCTGGGCGTACGAAAACTGAGCATGACCGAAGAGTAGCTGCGGTAAGAAAGCGACTAAGAGATCATGGATTAACCGTGAACGAAGGAAAGTGTCAGTGGGGACAAAAGAGAGTGACGTTTCTAGGACACAAGCTTTCTGAGGATGGTATCTTGCCAACGGAGCAGAAAATTAGTGCAGTAAAATCGTTCAGGCGTCCAGAAACAGCAGAAGAGGTGCGTAGCTTTTTAGGGCTCGCTAACTATGTGGGAAAATTCATCCCTCATCTATCCACTATCAGTGCACCACTGCGTGCAATAATACGAAAAGGAGTTCACTTCCAATGGACTAAGGAAGCAAACAAATCATTCGTCGAGATTAAGGATGCTCTGTCCAACCCGCGGCATCTTGGATTCTACAATGCGGACAGCGATACCACATTAGTTGTTGATGCAAGTGCGACAGGTCTTGGGGCGGTGTTACTGCAAAGCGACAATGACAAACGACGAGTGATCAGTTATGCTAGTAAGAGTTTGTCAAGAACGGAGCAGAAGTATTCGGTGCTAGACAAAGAAGCGATGGCGATCTACTGGGGAATCGGACGTTTCGAAATGTACTTGAGAGGAAAATATTTCACCGTGATCACCGATCATAAGCCGCTGGTGAGAATATTCGCCACCGATTCAGCTCCTAATGCACGACAGCAAAGATGGGTTCTGCAACTACAGGGATATAGTTTTAAGTTGGTGTATGCTGCTGGGAAAAGCAACATAGCCGATCCGTTGTCCCGATTAGCTCAAGACGATGGCTGTCGTAGTAATGACCGTGACTGTGAAAGTGATCTATGTGCCACGATCGAAAGTGCCTTACCATCCACGATGTCAATGACAGAAGTTATCCAACACTCAGAAAATGATGCCGAGTTCCGGAAAGTTCGCGATGCAATCAACGCTGGAAAATGGAGTTGTGAACTAAAGCAGTACTTGCCGTTCCAAAATGAGCTGTGCTGTGTGAATCAAGTTATTTTGCGACTAAACAAAATAGTAGTTCCTGAGAGTCTCCGTGGAAGGATTTTGGATCTTGCTCATAGTGGTCACCCAGGCAGCAATAAAATGAAGCGGCGACTGCGAGCATCCGTATGGTGGCCGGGAATAGACAAGGATGTGGAGCAGAGATGTAAGAAGTGTATCGAATGCCTAGCCGTTGGAACGGGTTCTAATCCGGAACCACTGCAGATTCGAG